GCCCCGTAGTCTTCGCCATTGAGGCCGATCCCAGTCATGAACGCGGCCAAGACCATGAACATCTGACGCACAGACGATACGTAGGACTGCGTCGTGCCACGGGTTGCTTCCGGTTCACGACGAGCCAGCTCCACCATGTAGCCATCCGAGGCGCCGAACGAGATCACCGTGCCCAGGTTGGCGAACACGAACAGGATGATGAGGTTGATGCCTTTATCCGGCGCGTCGTGGTTGATCATGACCAGCTGCTCAGCCGTAAGCTCGTCTTCGTCAATGTCAGCGAGTGCTGGGTCTCGGTAGTACGGATCGCCCAGAGGCAGCACCGCCATGAGGAAGCAGCACACGAACGTCAGCAGCCAGCCCAGAATCAGGTACGGACGGCGTCGGTAGCCGAAGATCGGATAGCAGTCGGACAAGATCGCAGTGAACAAACGCAGTGCTCGAGGTAGTCTCACCAGCGCTTGAGCGGTGGCCGTAAGCACCGCCGACATGTACAGGTAGTTGTTCAACACGGCGTAGATGACGCCCGACAACGTGCCGTAGACGACGCCAACCGAAGCGATATGAGCGAGCAGACCGACGTGCTGCCACGAGAAGACGGACGGAGCACCGCCAGGTTCGAGAGCTCCGCCTTCAACCTCCACGGGGGTCTTCACGGCCTCATGGAGACGCTAACGTTATCTTGGTGGGCTCCGGAGAGCTCGGAACGGCTGCAGATGTCGGAATCGAGCTCATAGGTGCTAATCCGGAAGTGGCAGAAGCCCAAAGCCTACACTGAGCAGCAGATAAGGAAATGCATGTACATGCAGCTCTTTCCTTCGGCGCCAATCGATTCCTAGTGAAAAAGAGACTCACATTCAGAAGCTCGTTGCTCCAGTCGACTACAGAACCATCAGGGCGTCAATTTGTGTGACGTCTTCAGAACGGTAGTGGGACGTTACCGTGGAAACATCACGTCTACTGCCCTGGCTACGAACCAGCCACGCGTGCTTCGACCCAACCAGGTCTCATGTATGGTGGACAGCGCGGATGACTTGACGGTGAGCTTTAATTCAAAGTTTAAACGTCGTTAATCGCTGCTTCAGTTTGACGAATTCAAATGGTCAGCCCGGATCGTGATTAAATGCCCTCCATCATGGAGTCCAAGATGGCAGAGGGAGCCCATCTGCCTAAGTACAAGTACACTGTACACTGTACTGTAATCAAAGCGTGCGACGGATGACTCGACCTCGTGCATTGATTCTGTATTGCTGATAAACAATCAACCAACCAACAGAACTGCAGTTCTCCGGCAAAGGGCGCTCCACCCGCGAGCGATTTGACCGTCGCAGCCCCGCTGTCGTTTGGCCCCGACGGCCGACGGTGGAGACGCGTGCCGCCATCAACAATCGCATCCAGCGACTGCAGTACTCACGCCAAGTACATGTACACTAGTAGGTATCCATGAGAAGAGGTCGGACACAAACAAAATAAATAGCATGAAATAAATAAATTTTCTTTGAGGATCTCAGGTTTTTAATTTGAAAACTAAATTAATGTTTTTGTTTTAATATCATCCAAATTCTCGTTATACAGTATGCATGTTCTCATCGTTGGAGACCGGGTGGACGACGGCTCTGGCTCGTCGGGCACCGTCCGCTACGTTGGCCCTGTGGTGACAGCGAAAAATGCATCTACGCTGTACTACGGCATCGAGTGGGACGAGTGGGGTCGCGGCAAGAACGATGGCAGCGTCGAGTTGCCAAGTGGAGAGCGCGTGGTGCATTTCTCGGGGCCTCCAGGCCGCAAAGTGTCAGGACACGGAAGTCCAGTGAGCTACAAACGCTCGTTCGTGAAAGCTTCAGTTTTTGACAAGACAGCCGAACGAAGTTCGCTATTACAGCGACTGCATGAAAGATATTCCAACAAAGAACAATATTCCAAGTCAGAGGAAGGAACTCCAGGTGACGTGGTGGTAGCCGGAGAGGTGGGCACGACGCTGGGCAGCGAGAAACCCATTGAATTCGTGGGAGCCAAGAAGCTCAGCACCCAGCAAACGCTGCAAACTATCGATAAAATTTCACTTTCAAATTGTCGAGTTAGGAGGACAAGGACTGGGGGAATTAGCCCCAAATTTAACGGAACTGGACCTATCCAGGAACCTTTTCAGCAAGTGGAGTGACATAATTGCTGTCATCCGCGAACTTCCGCTACTGGAGACGCTGATTCTAAGCGGGAATAAGTTGACAATTGAGGAAGAAAATGACAGTAGCAAACTAGCAATTTTTGAGAATTTGAAGGTGCTGGTGCCAAGCTACACTCTGCTATCATGGAAAAATGTGGGAGCGATCATCACACGCCACTTGCCCAAGCTGGAACAGCTGCATGTAGTAGGCAACGAGTACGAAGACGACCAGCTGACAGAGTGGGAGCCAACTGGAGGCTGGTTGGAGACGCTGTCGGTGTTGGATTTGAGTCTCAACCGCTTGAAATCATGGAGCAAAGTGCTGCAAGTTGTTGGGGAGTTCGCGAACTTGAGTCAGCTCTTCTTACACGGGAATCAGATCGTGACGCTCGTGGCTGACGTGAAGCCAACCTCGTTCCAGCAGCTTACGACGCTGTCGCTGAGTGAGAATCTGGTCGATTCGTGGACTTCTATTGACGCTTTGAATGCTTTTCCTCTGCTGGATACTCTACGCTTTTCAAAGAACCCATTGACGACGCAGATGAGTCTGGGCGAAGCTCGATTGCTGGTTGTTGCAAGAACTGACCACATCGCAGTGTTTAATGCAAGTCCAGTCCGCGAGAAAGAGCGCAAGGAAGCAGAACAACTCTATCTGAAGCGAATCTTGCACGAACTGGCTGTGATCGGCGAAGATACGACCGAATATGGGCGTGTATTAGCAGCTCATCCACGCTTCACTCGCTTGCGAGAGCTGCATCCAGAGATCTCCATTGATCAAAATGGCTACACTGCGGATAGTGGATCTACGGCTGGTCCAAGGAAGTTGGCGTCGAGTCTCATTAAAGTCAGCATCATCCCAATGTCAATGCAAGCGACTGGTTTCGAACCTTTAGTCAAGAAAATCTCTCAACAGATGAAGGTATCGCAGCTCAAAGTACTCATCGAGACGAAATTCGGCATCCAAGTCCCTGCTCAAGTGCTTTCCTTCCGTACCGACTCGAGAGTAAGTGTGTATCGTAGACTTATTGTTTTTATGTTGTGACCACTGACTTGGTGTTTAATCGTCGGTAGAGTTTACCGATGCTGCTAGACGAGGACAACGCAGAAGTGAGCTACTACGGAATGCAGGTAAGGACTTCTCAGCTCTCCAATATTTCGTTCATATCGATCCTAATTTTTGTTTTCTAGGATGGCTCCGAGGTGTTGGTTAACGATAATGAGTGACAAAATAAGGTGACAAAGTAATATCAAGGAAATTCCCTCACGAAATATTACCAAACCGTAATACATGTACCTGCCAATTGTGGCCCAGCACATGTTGTGTCTGCCGGACGATGAACATGGCTGCACAAAACGACCTCCTTAGTGCTGTCAAATGGCTTCTTGCGGAGTATATCGACGACCCTACTGTGGACGCTGAGCTGCACCACTAGAGCTATGGATGTTGCAGCTCGACGTGGGCATCTCGAGGCTGTCACTCTGATCGTTCAGAAGGATGCACTACTGCTGCGATGGTTGGAGTTGCTTTTAGTGGTAGGCTAAAATATGTTGAAGTAGCTAGAACGCACATGTACTGAGGGATGCACGAGCCAAGCTATGAATTTGGCTGCTGAGAGGGAATTTTAAGTGTTGTGCAATGGCATTTTACCTTGAGATTACCTGAAATATTGCAAAAAGCGTTTTTCCTTAATTTTTTTTATCAAGAATACATCAAGCACCACGCTTCCAAATAAAAGAAAGGGTTCTTCGACTTGTCTTCCGTCTGCCAGTTCCTTACAGATGCTTGGAAAAGGGTTCATCGGTTCTTTCTTGAAGCGTGAGAGCTCCTGGGAATGTGTTGACCGGGTTCGGCTTGAGATTGGCGAGGTGGTGACGGTTCCTCGAGAAAGATTCTCCGTCCTCGGGTTGGTAGCGCTCCCACGCTGGCGTTTCGCGACGTTCACGACTCAAGTTGACGTCAGGATTAAGCAGCAGGTGACGAACGAGACTGAAAGCGCCAATAGCGAAGCCAACCGACACACAGAACACCAATGGATAGATTTCAGCGTCACGCGACGACACCATGATGAAGCTCTTCTCGGCTCTCGGACCAGTTGGGACCGGCACAGGGATCTGGGGCTGCTCCACTACCGCGCGTCTATTGAGGAACTTCTGCAAACGAGTGAGGAGGACTCTCATTCTTGCACGTGTCTAGATTCTCTTCAAATTCTCAATCTGTGAGCATATTGGGCGAACCTGTGAATTGCCGCGTCCCGGACCATCGTCGCCTCGCAGATTCCTTTAGGTGACTAAACTCTACATGTTGGTTTTCACCGAGGTTTGTGAATTATCTACTTCTCTGGCCCAGTCCAAAATGACGATTTCATATTTTGACTGATATATCTGTGTAGTGTGGGGCTGAGGTCGAAAGCCTTGCCCTTATTGCACATTGGGCATTGAATGCTGCATTCATGCCCAGCTGGTACATGTTATAGTTGCAGTTGCAGCACATAAAGTTATCATGAGATTGCCTACCGGTAGTTGATTCGTACTTCAATGGGTTCTCTCTCAAGGAACAAGAGCGAGGTCTCCGAAAGCCGATGCATTAGCAAAAACCACTGACCAATCATCAGACACACTTCAAGATTCTTTATAGAAATATAAACTTAACCAACTAAGGAATGTCGATGGTGGAGATTTTTTTTAATTAGAAAAGGCGAAGGCTGTCAAGTGTAGTTTCGTCAAATGTTTGCTGGCTCTGGAGTCGTGTTGGTCTCATACTTAAGTACCGATGCTGAGTGAGATATAATTGATCTACAGTAGGAGCGACAGATTGGGGTTCACTAGGGTTTTCTGCGACAGGCGTAATCACGGATGCTTTTTATCCAATAGCACTAGTTTATTCGTAAATGATTTAACCCCAATCGTCATTTTGAAGTGGGTCAGAAAAGTAATTTGACGCCTTGTGGCTGCTATATAATTTACATTTCAATTAACAGCTAAATATACTACCTTCTCTCTCTGCGATAAATATTGCACTTTTATGGAAATTTTTGGTGAACCTATCGATCAGACAAATTTTATCGCGTTCACACTACTTCTCTAATAATGTACTAAATTGTATCTACTGTACTGTATAGAGAAAAATGGAGCGTAATTGGAGGTCTGTCCAATACCGATACAATACATGTTTTTTCTTAAACGCATCTGAGTTCCTATCATCCTGCATGTATACATCAAAAATGATTACCATGTACATGTATGGTAAAAAAATACTGTAGTGAGCAAGGCTCACAACGAATGCATTACGCCGTCTTCCCTTCATAAGGCAATCAGTCTAATATGGGCGTAAATCAAATAATTGTTTCCACCTCATTGCCCAGCATTTTCACTAAGGAAGGGTGCAAGAACTGCAGCACATACATGTAATAACAGTACGTGACTGCAATCGTCCACGAGTGATAACACCGTTTCTACGCGGCCCCATCTTACGATCGGCTCTTCTCCCTTTGTGCGAACGCGTGCACAATTTTCACGCGGGAGCGTTACTTCCAGTTCATCATTTCGTTAGTCCTGTTACCGGTACTAAGTTCCGATTCATTTTTCGATTTACTTCCACCGACGAAGACACCACCGAACCAAGTCTCTACAAGATGCGCGTTGCTCAAGTCTTGTTGGCCACATCAGTAGCTCTTGTTGCGTGCAGCAACGGTATTGCTTTAGCCGTGGAGGACGGTACCAAGGGAAAAAGTTCAGCCACGACTACGACCGGCCCCGACTCCTTGGCTGCAACTGTCTTAGAGGGCGATGGCAAGGACAACGACATTTTCGCGTACAAAATGCCTTTCAAGTACAACAATATCACTGGAACGATGGTTATTACAATCGACAAGGCCAGCCTCAAAAAGATCTCGGGCGACATGTCTTCAAGCGAGCAATCGCAGGTCTTCGACTTCAGCGAGCTGGAGAAGAATACACCGGCGTCTGAAGGCGAGGACCGAGGGCTATTCGCTTTTGCAGCGACGCACCTCGCTCAGTACAAGTTGACTCAATAAGCCGTCGGTTGGTTCAAGAGTGTTTTCTAGGAGACTCAATGATGTAGACTGGTTGGAGCTATTACGGAGTATTCTATCTGTTGTTCTCGATTCATAAACATAATAATTGTTTTCAAAACCGGTATTACTCTTATATATTTGATTTAACGAATACCTCTTCAAAGACGCTAGTTTTTTTAGCGGTATCTTGGTTGGCCAGAACCGCCTCATATTTATAACCCTAGTGCAATCTTAGGGGATACTAATGATATAGTATACTGTATATTATTTAGTAGAACTCGCTACGTAGTCTAGGAAACTTAGTAGGTGCCGTGGTGCAAATCGAACAGTCTACAGTCTCACAATATCGTTTAGCCTCTGTAGATTTGGGCTGTTTAATTACCGAGCAATTTCAGTAGGACATGCAACTAGCGCTACCAAAAATGGTCGCTATCGCCTTCGTTTTCGTAGGAAAATATACTGGCTAAATTAAAATTTGATGTACCTGAAGTACTGTAAAGAGTCCTTCTGTTTCTCCTAAAACACGTCTTAGTGCTCATTTCTCTGCGTAAGTGCTCGAAAGGCGTTTGGGAGCCACACTGTAGTGTATTTGAGAGAAATAAGCATCGCAATATATTGACTAACAGAAAGTTAAGGTACTCTACTTGGAGTGTGTAACGGGGTACGTAACCCTAAGTGTACCCTGGTTACATGAGACGGGAAGCACCCTGTGTACTTCCACTGCAAGGATTTGCGGAATATTTGCGGTAGCACTAAAGCTTGTGAAAAGCCCCCCCCCCCTTCATTCGCTAGCTACTTCGGCTCCTAGACTAAAGTGTAGTCAGATCAAAAGTGCAGGCTCACGAAAGGCTAAATATCCGGGGCCTAAAGCATAGGACCCATCTGTATCGCTCGGTTCTGATACCCTAAACATGTCATAGCGCTCGATGGATAATCCGGGATCAATGAAGCGTTTGGACTCGGGCTCATATTCCGAAGAAAACATGGTCGGAAACAGCCGACCGGTGACCGCCCGGACGTCCCGATGCTTCATTAGCGAGCATTCCCTCTTGAGCTTTACTAACGTATTTATAACGGTTTATACAGAACCCCCTATTCTGGATACCACCCAAGTTGTTCCAGATACTACCTACCAGACTGGTCCGGATATTCCTGCTGAAAGGACGGATAATCCGGAAGTGGCAATTCCGGAAGCACTGAATGCCGCGCGTGCTGGCCTCTGAACCGGTGTCTCTCTTGACGATTTTGATTCTGATGACTTTATCAATGCCCTGTGGCGGGACACTTTATTCGAGGATCTCGATGCTGATGATTTCAACAGGGGAGGAGAGGACTGGTTGCGAGCCCTAGATTCGGATGCAGAAGGTGACGAAGAGCTCATTCTCCAAGATGGAAATGATGATGAATCTGTGGACGACATTGCTTCAGTCGCCAGTGACGAGAGTGGTGACGATCTTGCGAATGAAGATGATGATGTGCCTGTGGACTTTGATCTGACTAGTGAAGACTTGGGTAGCCTCCGCGCAGGAGGCTGGGACGTCTACATGGAGCAGCAGTCTTGTCAAGTACTGCGGGAGGGCTCTTCTCTCTACGAAGGTCCGTCTGGTCCAACTCGCGCTGCATTAGCTTACGCTGAAAACCCATTGGCGATCTTCTATTTCTTCTTGCCGAAGGAGCTGTGGCGAAAAATCGCAAATGAAACGAACAAGTTTCGCCGAGGCAGTGCGGAATCTATCGCCCAGCAGATGCGAGCACGTGCCCTTCTCCGTCGTGAGACCGTTCCATCGACTGCTGTACTCACTACCGAGGATTACAGAAGAAAGTTGGAACGCAAGAGCTCAATACAGCCCCATGAGATTGTTTGCTTTATTGGACTACTTGTCGCGAGAACGCTGGAGCCGCGCCGAGAGAGTCTCAGTCGTCATTGGATTACGAAGGCTGAGGGTGCACTATCCCGCGGTACATTCGGACAGTTCATGAGTCGGGATCGTTTCCACGACATTGCTCGCTACTTGCATTTCAACGACAATGCCCGGCAGCACGACAGTGCGGATCGTGCGTTCAAGATCCGTCCTTTTATTCAAGCTTTGCAGAAGACATTCTTCCGCGGATATCGGCTCGGTGCGCGAATTTCGTTCGACGAGGGGATGGTGCCAATGCGTCACCGCCGCAATCCAATGCGCCAGTACATGTCCAACAAGCCGAACAAGTGGGGTACGAAGTTCTACATGACGTGCTGCACGGACACCGCGTACTTCTCGAGGTATGTTGTACGTTTATTACGGATATCCGTGCAAGTTTTGGCTCAGTGCATCCGTAATGTGTTCCGCACTATCCATATTGTATTCGCCTTATCGCTAACAATATGGTGTGTTTGTATGTGTAGACTGGAAATTTACTGCGGGAAAGCGAACGCTAACGAAGACGCTGTGGCGCAGCGAGCTGTGGTGAAGAATGTGACGCGCGTACTACAAGGACAGCCTTCTCAGAGGCTTATTTGTACAGACAATTTCTATACGTCAATCCCGTTATCGGACAAACTCCTCAGTATGGGCCACTACCACGTCGGGACCATTCGCAAGGACCGGAAAAGGTGGTGTAAAGCTATTGACTTTACGCAGAAAAAGAGACCGAAGAAAATGGCCAGAGGAACTTACCGAATAGCTGTATGGAGAGATCGCCCCGAGTTCGTAGCTCTGTCGTGGATGGACAGCAAGCCAGTTACATTTTTAGCGACTGGTTGCTCCACCCAAATTACTCACGTCACCCGTAGAGAGCCCGGCGGATCGATCTCCCAAGTCCCATGCCCTCAGCTGGTTCGAGATTACCATGAAGCGATGGGAGGTGTGGACGTTCATGATCAACTACGACTTCAACGGTACTCAATCCAGCGCTCCATCCGCATGCGAAAGTACTACAAGACCATTTTTCTCGGCTTAGTAGATATTGCTATGGTAAATGCTTTTATCATTCACAAGATCGCCCTGCGTCGTCTCAACAAGCCCGTTCCCACGCATGCCGTGTTCATGCGGCGACTACATATTGCCCTGTTGAGTCAGACAAGCGAAGATTTTGCCGGGGACGATGACTTAGCAGACCTCGTGACCGAGCCACTTCCTCGAAGCGCGCACACGCTCGAGAAGACGGAAGAGAAAAACGGAAACAAGCGCCGCCAGTGGCTCTGTAAGGTCTGCTCAGCGTACGCGGGTCCTGGCGTCCGCAGCTTC